CAAATCCGCGTCGAGTCCGCATCGGGCCCGCGTCGGGCACAAAACAAGACACCAATTTGTCGGACAGACGAGGCCCCCCGAAGATGCACCGTAAGCATTGAGCTGGAATCGGCAATCTATCGCCGATAGATCAGCGACAAACCCCCGCTAGCGAATCCGCAGGTTCCTGGGCGGGGCGGGCTATCGGGCCCCTGTTGGCGACGAATGAGCGATTGGGGGTCGATGCATCCCCCCCCCTGGGCTTAGGTCGGGCATGTCCTCCTACAGGCGGATATTGGAGGAGAAATCAAAAATAGTCAAAACATATGCATAACTAGTCAAGCACAATCCCCAAATCGTCCTCAGACCATGTTTTGACTATTGTTGAACCTTCCTCCTGTAGAGGGACGTGCCCGACGTGATCCTGGGCAAATCCCTCCTATCGTTGCCCCTGATCCAATCTGGGGAGCGGGCACGGCAACTCCCTGCCCTCGGGCCGCCAATGCGATGCCCCCGCGGGCGGGCCCGCTCCCGGGGTCCATTCCGCTTCCGGGGGTCCTTTGCAAGCGACTTTCGGGGCGAGCCCCCCCCCGTCGGGAACCCCGAGCACAAGAATCCAACACAGCGACGCTGGTGCTTGTCTAATTGGCACAGAGGGCGCTCGTGCCTCCCTCTCCTCCACCAGCGGGTGTATGACTAACGATGTCTCCTTCTTTTCTTGCTCGGCGTACCGATTCAACCCCAACCTTAGGAAGCAGACCCGTTGTTCAAGGTCTTAACCTCTTTGCTTTCTTGTTATTCTAGGGGTTGCATTGTGCAACGCAAGCATTTTTCCCGCATGCCTCTTTCATAAGAGACCGTGCACAAGGATGAACACATCAATGACACTCCAAGTTCCGCGCTTGTGGGACGGGTGCTTTCCGTTGCGGGTAGTGTGAATTTGCCTGAACGTTCGTCGCTGGCTGGTCGGTTCTGCAGACTTCGCTGAGCTTTCTGGCCTGCCCTCCTTCAGATATGCAATCGCACCTCAAGCACTCGAGCAATTTTCTGTCTGGCGTCGCCGCTGTAGCAAGCATGTGCACCTGCGGCTCAAATGCGAGCGCGCTCAGCACCAGGTGGTGTCCAGCCTATTCCCATGCCAAGAAGGACTGGTCACGTTGGGTGCGTCCTGAGCACTGATGACATGCCCAGAATCCACTTAAATTTGTGCTCGCTGGTCGGGAACAGCGGTTGGAGATGGCTGCCACTGCGGGCATTGTCAGGGGCAACGGCTGCAACAGCAAGGCAAGCTGGGGCGGATGGGGGGATTCCGCGTGGCCAGCCCACTTCCCTGTGGCCGGAATGGATGGGCCTCCGTCTGGGCAATCGGCGGCGGATCTGGCAGCGCTAATTTGGCTGCCACAGCGCATGTCTAGACGAGTTGGGCCCGCAACGCAGGCGTGCTTTTTGTTGCATGGGGCCTGCCGAGGGCACAGCAAAAGGACATTAGGATACACTTGGCCACGTAACGGAGGTAATTGTGCAACACCGGGGGCATTTTCGTTACATCGCTGGCGCTCCGCGAGCGATGGCCGCGTGAAACGGGAGGCGCCTAGCTTCGCGCAACGAGCGGCGAAATCGTCTCCTTTGGCCAGGTGCCAGTCCTGTAACTGCGAGTCTCTGCGTCCGAGTGTGCGGCGACCTTGTGGATGGCGAAGATGCTGCTCCAAGTCGGTGAAGAACGGATCTTGATTCGCATTCACGCGTCTACGAAACGCCTGAAGTTGTTTGCGACCATGTTGGCGAAGCCCTTGCCTCCAGACAGCCGCCGTCGCCGCCCCCGTCGTCTACGATGGCGACAGCTATATACCTACGCACACTGATCCTGGCAAGGCCGACCCTTGGGCCCAGGATCGGTGAAGACGCATCCCGAGCCCAGGATGCACCTGAGCAAGATCTGTGTAGGCGTATAGTTGGCGTCACCCTGGATTGTCATCGGCTAGTCGAGTTACTTCTTCCAACCCCTCCTTTCCCTTCCAAAAAAAACGACCAGTCCTTTAGGGCGTAGGTGGTTTGACGAGTTTTGTCTTCTTTTTCCCTCCTTCCCCTGCTCGGGGGAGGGGTTGATCACTGTTCTCTATAAATTCGCCGGCCCAACGGGCCAGAGGCGTGCTAAGATCTCCGGTAACTCGTTAACGATATTCCTAGTTCGCGCGCGCAGAGCGGCCCCTGGGGGCCCCCGGACGAAAAGTACCCGGGCCAGGTCCCGGTCAGGTCCCCCTAGAGCACTCCAGGGGAGGGCCATTTTCGACACCCCTCACGAGGATCGTGGCCTCCGAGGGGGGAGCCGCAATCGACTACCCCCCCTCCCGCCCCAAGAGGCCCCCAAGAGCCCCCCAAGAAGCCCTGGGGGCCCCGAAGACGCCGCCAAGGAGCGCCAAGAGACTCCCAAGAGGTCCCCAAGAGGCCCCCAAAAGGCCCTAAAGAGGGCTCCAGGGCCGGCGGAATGAGCGAAGCGATTAATATACACCCCCTCCCCCAGGTGACCGGCAGCCAACCAGTGAGGCCCGCGAACACTATGTGTATTGTTTTGAAAGGGACGGCGGGGGTGTCAGCATGTTGCCTGCTGTGCGCAGGGCTACCATCGCTATCCAAAAACACTACACAATGCACCTCGCGGCCAAACCTGGATCATGCGCGGCCATCCCGCGATCACTGTCAAGTGGTTTTTGACAGGGATGACGGGGATGGTGGCGTATGGCCTGCTGTACGCAGGCCGACCAGACACAAATATTGGCATTGGCGTTTGACAAGGATGGTGGTGGCCGACATGTTTCCCGATGTGTGCTGTCACATGCGCAGGCGCACCTGGCACACTCTGCACGTGCCCCGAACGTGGCGCACCTGGCGCGGCTGGAATGTGCGGCACACCTGGCGCACGCGGAGCACGTGGCGCATCTGGCGCACCAGCCGTGCCTGGCACGCTCAGGCCCCAGGGGTGCCTGCCGCGCGTGGCGCGCCTGGCACGCGTGCCGCACCTCGCCCCAGCGTCGCGCACATGGAGTCGGTTTTAGTTCCCAGTAGCTGTCCATCCAAAGACGACCGCTGAAGATGCTGAGGCTCGGGTGTTACGTGTGTGCTGGGAGGGCGGGTGGGAGTGAGCTAGGTGGCTTGCGGGCGGGTGGGTATCTTGACTCCTCCCCCTTCCCCCTCCCCTGGGCCTGGGAGTGGGGGGACAGGTAGCTGGAGTTCCAAACTGGGCCCAAGATGGCTCCAAGAGGGCCTTCGGCAGCCCAAGACGGCCTCCAAGATGGCTCAGGATAGCCCAATATGGTTTTATCTAGCCTCCTCCATACCTCCAAGAAGCCCCAAGACAGTCCCAAAACAATTCCAAGTGCCCTTCGAGTCTTATCGAGCCTTTCTATGCACCTTCCGAAAAGCCACAACCCCTCGAAAACCTAAGGGAATCAATGTTTTGTTGCGTTGCCGTCTCGCTGTTTCGCTTCCGATTGGCTTTTCAGGCTTCAAGATGGCCCCGAGACGGCCCAATAGAGCCCCAAGAGGGGTCCAGGGGGGCACAAGAGGGCCCCCAAAGCGCCCCAAGAGCGGCCCAAGAGGGTCCCAAGACACCACGTTTGGGTACACCCTTTCTTTTCGAGCCATGGGGCCCAAGAGGCCTCCCAAACTCCTCCATTGAGCCCCAGGGGGGCCCTAAAACCGTCAAAATGAGCCTCAAGAGGGCACCAAGAGTGCCCCAAGAGGCCCCACGGAGACTCCAAGAGAGCCCCTAAGGTGGCCATACTCGTCCTTCAAGAACCTCTCCCGACAACATTTCCAAAGCCCGACTTCTCATCCTCCTTGTCATCGTCCGTTCCCTCCCTCCTCCTTTTCTGCCTCCTCCCTCCTCCTCCTCCTCCTCCTCCTCCTCCTCTTCCCCCTCCTCCTCCTCCTCCTCCTCCTCCTCCTCCTCCTCATCATCATCATCATCATCACTATCATCATCATCATCCTCGGGCCGCATTCCTCCTCCTCTTCCTCCTCCTCCTCCTCCTCCTCTCGCCGACTCCCAGCGATGTTGGTTCGGGGCGAACAGGGCCGAAGCCCGCCGAAACCACCACACGCGGCGAGCGCCGTGGGGTGCCTCCTTTCACTTCTGAGGCGGCCGCGTGGGGTGCTGCCGGCCTGCCCGCACGGGGTGCCACCACCACCAACCTGGACCACCTAACTTCGCGCATCGCGTTCAGCGATGCACGATACAGTCGGCCCGTATTACAGTCGGGGCGTTGACCTAAGGAACCCCAAATGAGGAACGAGGCCCCTTTTTCCCATGAGATATACTTCGATTTCCCATGGAAACCTCAAGGAAAACCCCAGGCAAACTGTAAAACAATCAAGGAACGCCGAGCCCCTCCCCAACGAAAAGCGTTCCTTCTTCAGGGCCCCGACTGTATAAGGATGCGCGAGAAGCGATAAGGATGCACGGGCCTTGGAAGGCCACGCCGACACGTTGTGAGCGGGGCGCGGCTGGCGAAAGTGGCCACAGATGGACCGAGGATGCAAGGATGCAAGGGTACCCTTGGGCTGCCCATCCTGACTATGCGGGTTGACTGTGAGACGAAGCCAGGACGAAGATGAAATTGGGCGAGGATATGTGAGAATAAATCGGGAACCTCGGAAATCCGGCGGTCCTCAACGGTGTATCGGGCACCGCGGCCTTCTCAGAGCGTTCCGGAACGCTCTCAGAGCGTTCCAGAACGCTCTGGAACGGATTTATCCTCGTCCCAGCCCCGCGATGCACGACCCTAGGCTATCTTCACGCCCTCCCGCCGCCGCTCCAGAGAAGATCGCCTCTCCGACCTAAGCCGCGGAGCGCGGTCATCTTCGCGCCCCGTGGGGGCGAGCTAACGAAGAGACGGGTCGCTAGCTGCGTTCGCCACCGCCGCCGCCTCCCGTCGCCCGGCCCCCTCGTCTCCTCCACCTCCTTTCCCCATTTGCGGGAGAGGAGGTGGTAAGACTCAGCGAGAGGAGGAAGCGCGGGGCACCTCCAACACCCTCTCCGCGTCGGCAACCGACCTGGGCGGCGTGAGTGCCGAAGAACACTGGGTGGGGGAAAAACACTAGGTGCCGAAAAACACCAGGCGGAGGAAGACAGGTCAACAAAAATACACGTGCGATCCAAGTCGAGCTCCAACGCCAGACATGCAACAAGACTACCTGTTAAGATGTGCAAGCGTTGTCGCTCACCACGTGGGTATGCATGCACGTATGTATGCATGTATGTGCGTGCGTGCGTGCGTGCGTGCGTGCGTGTGTGCGTGCGTGCGTGCGTGTGTGTGTGTGTGGTGTGTGTGTGTGAGTGTGTGTGTGTGTTTGTGCGTGCGTGCGTGCGTGCGTGCGTGCCTGCGTGCGTGCGTGCGTGGGTGTGTGTGTGGTGTGGTGTGGTGTGGTGTGGTGTGGTGTGGTGTGGTGTGGTGTGGTGTGGTGTGGTGTGGTGTGGTGTGGTGTGGTGTGGTGTGGTGTGGTGTGGGTGTGTGTGTGGTGTGTGTGTGTGTGGGTGGGGGGGGGGGCGTGTGTGTGTGTGTGTGTGTGTGTGTGTGTGTGTGTGTGTATGGGTTCTCTACTAAAACAACGAATCTCGAATATTGCGTTTGTTTCTGTCCTCCCTGCCGGGCCCCCCTACATGCGGTGGGTACTACATCGCGATGACCATGCGGTTCTGGGAAGAGACGCACCCACACGAACAGACACGACAGTCGGGGCGTTGACCTAAGGAACCCTAACAAGGAACGAGGCCCCTCTTTCCCATAAGTTAAACTTCCATTTCCCATGGAAATCCTCAGGACAACCTGAGGCAAACTGTTAAACAATCGAGGAACACCGAGCCCCTCCCCAACGAAAAGGGTTCCTTCTTCAGCGCCCCGACTGTATCATTACTCGAGACGTCCCGCAATCTGGGCGCGAACGGGCCCGTGTAACACGCCTGGTCGACCATGCGGTTCTGGGAAGAGACGCACCCACACGAACAGACATGACAGTCGGGGCGTTGACCTAAGGAACCCTAACAAGGAACGAGGCCCCTCTTTCCCATAAGTTAAACTTCCATTTCCCATGGAAATCCTCAGGACAACCTGAGGCAAACTGTTAAACAATCGAGGAACACCGAGCCCCTCCCCAACGAAAAGGGTTCCTTCTTCAGCGCCCCGACTGTATCATTACTCGAGACGTCCCGCAATCTGGGCGCGAACGGGCCCGTGTAACACGCCTGGTCGAATTCCCCTGGCGAGGCCAACATTGCAGACCTGCTACATCACGGCGATTAGGAGGCCCTGATCATCAGGGGCGCGCCCGTAGCCACAAACTGCCATTTCATTCGAGACATCCCCACAATATGGGTGCGAACGGGCCCGTCCCACGCACCTGGTCGGCCCCCCCCCGCCCCCCCTAGGCGGTATCAATAAATACTATGCCTGCTGCATCGCAACGATCATGGGGCTCTGACAAGAGACGCGCCTACAACCAGAGAAAGCCATTCCACTCGAGAAATTCCCCACATCTGGACAAGAACGGGCCCGCGGAACTCGGCACCCCTTGGGAGGCCCCAAGCGCCAAGCGTGCTAAATCGCGGTGGCCGTGGGGCCTCTGATCAGAAGCGCGCCCACGACCACTGACGGTCATTCCACCCGCGACGTCCCCACCAATCTGGGCGCGAACGGGCCCGCGGAACGCATCTGGTCGCCCCCCTCCCCCCCCCCTTGGGCAGGGCTGAACCTAAACGGTGTGTTTCGTTTTCGTTTTACTGTTCGTTCTTCCTCGTTTTGCCTTCGATCCGCCTAGAGTGCAACATCCAACGACCAACAAAACGGCCCACAAGATGGCCAAGACAACGTTTGGGTCCAGCCCTGCCCTCGGGAGGCCCGCGTGCCTCGCCATCGCTCGGACGTCCAGTCCCCGTGCATTTTTCGGTTTCGTGCGTTTTCTCGTTGCTCGATGATTCAGGATGCTCATCGATGGTCCTCGCCGAGAAAAAAAAAACACACGTCCGAGCGATGCCAAGGTGCTGTGCCTCCTCGTCCCCACGCAATCGGGGCGCGCGCGCGCCCGTGGCCCCCCCCCCCCCCCCCGGCAGGCTCCCCCTCTGGAGGCATACGCTGCCAGGCGTGCCGCCTCGGGGTGGCCGTGGGGGCTCCGATCCGAGGGCGCGACGCGACGTCCGCACGCCAGCGCCGGAGCTGAACGGGGGCACCGAGGAGCGAATGATGCGACGTCCGCGCTGGAGGCGTCCACGAGGTGTGGGCGCGAACTGGCCCGTGGACACGTCTGGGCGGCCTGGGCGGCACCCCCCGTGGGAGGCTCAACAGCCATGCACGCCACACCGCGGTGGCCACGAAAATCCGAATATTGACTGATATGTGCATGATGGTTCTGAGTGAATCCGTGCATGAGTGACTGAGTGTGGGTGGGTCTGAGTGCGAGTGAGTCTGAGTATGAGTGAGCCTGAGCGTAAAAGTTGTCTGAGTGTAAGTTGCCTGTGCGTAAGAGTCTGAGCATGCCTGCGCGAAATATTAACGGATTTGGATGTGAGAGGTCTGAGTTTGAGCGACTATGATTGCGAGTGAGCCTGAATGTGAGTGGGTTTGGATGTCAGCGAGCTTTAGTATACGTGAGTGAACATCTGAGCGAGAGGGGAATGAGGCGAGAGGTGAGGAGGCGACGGCGTGACAATGATAACAATATCTCCAAACTTAGGATTTTGGGAGCAAGCAGGTGGATTCTGGGGAGGCTGCCAGGAGGTCTTCTCCAGCAACTGTGCGGACTTCGTCATGCTTTCGAGCTTCGGCTGGAGCTTCAAGACCTGATAATACAGCACGGGCAAATACACAGGATCCGGCAGAGACATGGGGACAGGATAACGGATGGAGGGTGTGGCGAAGAACTGAAAGGCACAAGAGGACCGAGTGGAAGGAGGATCCCTGGGCGATGCGGAGATTTATGCAGCTGCGATCGGACGCACAGGACATCCCACAGGAGGGAAGGCTGAGGGCAACGTGATACGGACAGGCCAGAAAATACCTCTCCCTGCGCCAAGATCTGCCCGCTGCCTCCCTCGTACTCCCGTGCCTGGGGTCTTCTCCGTGCGTGGAGTTCTGAGCGTCAAAACCAGCGCGGCGAATGCGGCTCGCCCCTGGCTGAAGAAGGAAGAGGAGGACCTGACAAGAACCCACCGCAAGCGTGAAGGCCAGAGGCCAGAGGTTTGAACAATACTGCCACCGGTGGGAGCTGAAGCAAGGCCGACCAAGTTGCCAGCTTCGGGCGAGCGCGCAAACTCTTCCCAGAAGACCGCTTCAGTCTGGGACACAAGGAGAAAATATGACCCTTGCCCCGACCACCCCACCCCACCTTCCACCCCACTCCCCGCCACGGAAGAATTGAAGGGAGGAAGCGGCGGCAACGCTGCTGTCTCAGTGGAATTCTCTGAGCAAATCTGGAGGTCCCAAACATGCCGCAGTCTTGGGGTGGCAGCGCCGCATCCAATTTTGAAGGCGACAGGACAGTCTACCAAATCTTTGACCAGTCCACCAGCGCGACGCCTGTGGATTACACACTCGTCCGAAAGGCCGCGTGATTGCTGAACAGCGTAAGCCCCGCACAACGAGAAGAAAAAAATACGGCCACGAAAACCTCACGAGGTACCCATAAGGATCCATAAGGGCCTTCGCGAGACCCGTCAGCCTACCAAAAATACACGAGAATGGAAGCGGGCAGGTGACCGCGGCTGCCCCCCTCTGTATCAATGTAGTTATGCTCCTGCACTTCCCTGATCAAAGCGACTCTCGTGTGAATCATCGCTAGATGGGCTGGTGGGAACACTTTTGGTCAACAGGCTCGCGAGGCGGGTCGAAAGCCGTCCGAACACTAGTCGGGCCGTGACTAGGCAGCAGGAAAAGAAAGGCAAGCGAAGCGAGCGCGCGGGCAGCCACTCAGAACTGGTGGGAACACTTTTTTCCTCGCGGGCGCAAGCGAAAGCGCAGGCGTCGAGTTGAAAGGTCCGGGCCACGGGCCGATCTAATTTACACGCGCGGGCGAGGCCGCCTACGGCGTGAGGGGAGGACTGGTGGGATCACGCAAAACGTCAATAATCACACTCAAGCACATGCCGACCGCGCTCCAAACCGAGCTGGTGGTACCCCGCGTGAAAGAGCAGGCCACGGGCCGTTGCCTGCCACGAGAGCAGAGGAGACGCGCGGGTGAGGGCGGCTTGCTCGACGCCGGCGGGCGGGCCAGGAGGATCGGCGGGAGGACTGCGCAACGCCCCCAAGATTCGGCGGAGAAACAGGGCGACGCTGTTGACGACGACGGCGGCGACGACGGTGACGGCAACGGCGGCGCGGGCGTAGACGGCGGCGATGGCTGCGGCGACGACGGCGGCGGCAGCGAACGCGGCGGCGGCGACGACGGCAGCGGCGTGCACGGCGGCGGCGGCGCAGACCGCTTCTGCGCGGTCGACGCCGCCGCCGGCCAGCTCCAGGGCGCGGTGGAGCTCGGGCAGCCGATCGGCGGATGCTCCTGGGGGGGGGGCGGGGCCTGCCCTCCGCCGCCGCCGCCGTGACGGTCGACGGCAGCCGCACCGCAGAGGCTCCCAGGACGGGGCCCTGCTGCCGGGAGGAAAGAGGGGAAGGCAGGGATCGCCCTAAACAGTGTTTTTTTGTTTTGGTTTGTTTTCGTTTTCTCTCGTCTTGTCTTCAGTCCACGCCTGCTGCACAACGACATCACAACGAAAACGGCCCACGGAATTGTGAAAACACCGTTTAAGTCGAGCCCTGGGGCAGAGGAGGAGCAGGAGGAGGCATGAAACAGAGGCTTTGCGGAGGAGGGTCAGGAGAACCAGGGGGGAGGCAAGCGGAGTTGGATGAGAAGAAGAGAAGAAAGACTGGAAGGTGTGTGTGTGTGCTGCTGCTGCTGTTGCTGCTGCTGCTCCCTCCTCCGTCCCCGCATCCTCCTCCACCTCCTCTTTTTCCCTCCTCCTCCTCCTTCCTGCCCCCTCTCCTCCCTCCCTCCCTCTCTCACTCACTCCCTCCCTCTCCTCCTCCTCCTCCTCTTTCTCCTCCTCTTTCTCCTCCTCCTCCTCCTCGTCCTCCTCCTCCTCGTCGTCCTCCTCGTCCTCCTCCTCCTCCTCGCCTTCCTCCTCCTCCTCCTCCTCCTCATCCTCCTCCTCTTCCTCCTCCTCCTCCTCTTCCTCCTCTTTTTCCTCCTCTTTTTCCTCCTCTTTTTCCTCCTCCTCCTCCTCCTCCTCCTCCTCCTCCTCCTCCTCCTCCCCCGTCAAAAGTCTGGGTTGGAGCATTGAAGGTTTATGTGCTTTATCGACGATTGCGGGAGACAGGTTCCTTGTGCTTTGCTGTCGCCCGAGCTCATGTAGACGTCGCTCCACAAGCCCGTGCTGAAACAATTCGAGTGGCAACCTTTTTTCGGATGGTTCTTGGACTGCGACCCGTTCGCGGGCATGGACCCACCTTACTTTCCCCCACTTTTTTGATCGCAACAGCTCGGAGCTCGGAATTTGTGAAATCAGTGGAAACAAAACGCGGTACTGATGGAGCCATCCGCAGCATCAATCTCGTCGCAGTTGCTGGATGCGCATCGTGAGAAGAAGCTGCCACGAGCTCAGCTGGTCCAGAGATCGTCCAAATCCACTGGCCTAGGCTTTGCTTCGATGTGATCCAGCGGTCTCTCCGATCCAAGCGATTCGCCCTTTTCAATACGTGATGTGTAAGATCTTTGATTTGCATCGAGATTTTGACTCACGTCAAAACGGAGCTGAAAACCTATCAAATCCCTCATCTCTGCCCGCGTTGCGGGTTGCTGCCGCTGTAATGAATATTTTCCTTAAGTGCTCAGGGAGAGGCTGAAAAAGGTGGAGCAAGGCATCACCGACGAAATCCGCAGCTCACCCAGGCCTTTGGTCCAGGACGGAAATGGCTGGCACGGTCTGCGAAAACCTGTCGGTGTGGTGATGGATGGGCCACCTGCGGCTCAGGCAGGGTGTTTCTCTTTATCGGGACACGCTTTCTTGAAGTGCGGCCTCTTAACGTGCAATTGAGGAGGTTCCTCTGTCTGGGGGGACTGAGCAAAAATGGGAGGAGGAGGAGGAGGAGGAGGAGGAGGAGGAGGAGGAGGAGGAGGATTTTTTTCAACCGCATGCATTCAGCCCAGCGACGCGTCGCCGCGCCCGCCGCCCCGGCGCGGCGCCCCGCGCGCCCGGCCGGCGGGCGAGCCCGGCCGGCACGACGCGGGGAAAACGACGGGGGCCCCAGAAAAAAGGGCTGCGCGGCGCCGCCTTTAGCGAAAAAGACGGCGCCGCGCCCCCCGCCCTCAGGGACCCAGGACCGGGCCCCAGGACCGAAAAAAGGACCGGACCCCAGGACCGGACCAAAAACAAAAAAAGGCGGCACGACACGACACGACACGACGGGGGACGAAACGGCCACGACCGACACGCACGACACGACACGGACGAACGACACGACAAAGACGAGCCGCCGGTCCCGCCCCAGGGCGGCGAATGCTGGGGGGGACCCAGCACCACCCTGGGGGAGGCCACGGGACCTGGCGACCCCCCCGGGGGAAGGAAACCGCACTTTGGCGGTTTCCCCCGGGGAGCGGGGGCTTTTCGCCCCGAGGGCCCAGCGGTCCCTGCCTCCGCCAGGGGGCCGAAGCCCGACCCCACTCAGTGAGGAGGAGGAGGAGGAAGAGGAGGAGGAGGAGGAAAAGGAGGAAGAGGAGGAGGAAGGAGAAGGAGGAGGAGGAGGAGGAGGAGGAAGAGGAAAAATACCAATGGAAACCCAAGAGTCATCAACGATGTTGGAATAAACAAACTCTCCCTCCAAGCTCCGTTTTCGTAGGCCCCTACAACTGTCCATTTCCACTGCAGGAACTGCCTCGTTGGAACACAACCGTTTGGAAATGCTGAAGCATGCCAACGCAATGTTTTCGGGATTTCAACGCCACAGATCAATCAGACTGCTGCGTCTTGACGATCTTGAATCGCGCCAGGACGCCATTCCTGAGACTTCAACGCAACGAATCAACGTAACGCTTGCACCCTCAAAACCCTGACTCCCTCCAGAACACCATTTTTGGTACGCTGATCGCGGGGGCCTTTGAAACTCTTGTAAACTTAAAACGAGCGTGCGCGGCGCTGAGGCGAGGGCCACATTGAAAAAACGACCCGCCCTCCATCCGCGAAACGCTTGCAACTTTTCCCAACCATTCTGTGGTGTTGGGTCCTCGTTTTGGAGAGACGGTCCCAACGTTCCTCCTCTTTCTTTCTTTCCTCCGCCTCCCCCTCTCCTCCCTGCATTACACCCACCCAATACGGCGCTTCGTGGCCGCATAGGGAGCTCTACCGGAGGCCCCAGTGGCAAGGTTCGCACGGCGGCCCCGGACCATTTCGGCACGCCGCTCACAAACCACGGCATTTTTGCACATGTGCTTGACACTCTTTTCCCCCTTTCCGTCAATCCACCGAGCACAAATCGCATAGGGCGCAGCTGAGGAACGTGCGTCGGATGGTCAGAACGTGAACCCTGGAATTTTTTTGAAGTGAAACACAGAACCCAGAACGAGGCGAAACCCGGAATCGGCCTGGCCGAAACCCGGAACCAGGAACCGAAGCCCAGAATCTCCAAGGAGCAAGCCCAGAACCGACGGCAGGCGAAACCCGAAACGAGCAGAGAAGCGAACCCCAGGAATCCTGAAAGCTGAAACCCCTCGAATCCGAACCCTCCGACAGACCTGCGCGTCACCCAAAAACGCAACGGAACTGCACCCCGTCCCGACGAAAATTTTACCGGCGCCACTGGGGTCCGTCGATTGAAGAACCACGCCGCCAAATCTCTACGCGCGCACGTCGCTCTTCCAGAATATCCCTCGTCTACGGCAAGGAACTGCGCAACGGCAAACGTCGCGAATGAACAGATGCCCAACGCAGAGACAAAGACGCACTGAGATCGGGAATAGCAGCAGATCCCGAAATGACCGGCGCAAGACGAAGAACAAGCAAACGTCGCCAAGACTTTTGACGCTGCCAAGAGCGACCACCAGTCGCGACTCCCACCACTGCCTCACGAAAACACCATTCGCTCATCTCTCCCTCCTCCCCCAATCCCAATCTAACCCTCTCCAGCTCCACCTCCGTCGTCGGCCCGCCTTCCTCATTCCCCGCCCCCATCCATCCCGACGCCGCCCCCGCTTTCGTGTCCTCCTCGCAACCGTTCACGTGGCCACGCGCCAAAACACTTTCAAAACCACGCGCGCAAACCATCCGCGCGCCTCGGATTGAAAACCATAGCCGCGCTGAAATTTCGATTTTCAAGCAGACGCGCCCGTTCGCAAAAACAGCTGATGACGCGACGACGGCGAGTGCGACGTCGACGACGACGAGGGCAACGCGAACAACCGACAAAGACAACGAAGAAGGCATCGACGGCAACCGACGGCTCGCGACCCCCGAATAACAAACAGCATCCCCGACGACGACGACAACGATGCAGGCCGCCCCAGGTAGTTCCAACCCTCGCGCCTCGAGTTCACTGCCAAAGCCAATCCATGATTTCACATCCACGGTGAACGCGCCCGCCCGCGAGTGGAGCGCCGACAGCGACGACGACGACGACGGCGACAAGGGCGGAAGCTACAACAACAACAACAACAACAGCAACAACAACAACTCTAACTCTGACTCAAACTCTAACTCCAACAACAACAACAACAACAATCACAACAGCACCAGCAGCAGCAGCAACAGCAACAACAACAAGAACAACGACAACGACGACAACGCAGACAATAAGAATTACCGACGACTGGCGACCAAGGGAAGGCAAACGAACATCGACGACAATCACGACGCAATCCGACCTAATTATGCCATCACCGCGCCTCAGGCTGACAACCGAGACCACTCCGATATTTCGATTTTAGGGCAGACGCGCCCGTCCGCGAATGCACCGGCTGACGCGGCGACGGGGGCAGCGACGTCGACGACGAATCAGGCGACGCAAACATCCGACAACCACGACAACAAGCACAACGTCGACAACCGACGGGTCGCGACTCATAGAAAACAAACGACCATCGACGACGACGACGACAACGACGCAAGCCGGCCCAATTTTTTAACGCCACCGTGCTTCGGGTCCATTACCAAAAACAAGTCACGATTCCAAATCCAGAGTGAACGCACCCGTCCGGGAGTAGAGCGCTGACAACGACAGAGACTACGACGACGACGAGGACGGCGGCTAACAACAACAACAACAACAACAACAACAGCAGCAGCAGCAGCAGCAGCAGCAGCAGCAACAACAGCACAACAACGACAACAAACACACACACACAAACAGCAACAATAACAACGCAGACAACAACAACCAATGACTCAAGACCAAATGGGGGCAACTGGCCATCGACGACAACCCCGAGGCAAACCGACCTAATTTTGACATCACCATGCCTCTAGCTGGAAATCTAAACCACTCGAGATTCAATTTTAGGGCAGGCGCGCCCGCCCGCCAATCAAATGCCGCGATGGAAGCCATCTGTTCGCCGTGGTATTGTTTCCCATTCCACCCCATCCTCGTCGCCCTCTCCTCCGCGATCCTGTTCCACGAGCTCGTCGTCCTCCTCCCCCCCCCTCTTCCTCTTCCTCCTCCTTCTCCGACGCCGCCTCCTTCCCCTCCTTTTCCTTCTCCGCCTCCCACTCCTCCAGTTCCTCGTCGCCACCTCGGAATCCTTCTCTTCCTCCCCCCTCTATCCCAAGGCCGCTCCCACTTTCGCGCCCTCCGCGCGTCCATTCACGTGGCCACGCACCAAAACGCTGTCAAAACCACCCCTGGACTTCGCACGCCGACGTGCTTTTGCCGCGACGACGACAATGCGAGGCGCCCTAATTTTTAACGGGCGAAGAACGGTATGAAATAAACTTTTTCGCCGTCGGGGACACCTGCCCCTGGGCGGCTGGAAAATTTATACCCTTACGGTGGCACCGTAGGGGTACAAACTTTCCAGCCGCCCAGGGGCAGGTGTCCCCGACGGCGAAAAAGTTTATTGCATACCGTTCTTCGCTCGCTGAAATTTGAACATCTCCCATGACTCACCTGGGCCGCCAAATTCATGCCCAAACTTCATTTTCAAACAGACGCGCCCGCCAACAAGCACGGGCGCCGACAGCGGCGACGACGACAGCGACGAGGACGAGGACAACGACGACATTGACATCGAGAAACGGCAAAAACAACGACAACGACGGCGACAACGACGCCCGACAACCAGAGCCAACAAAAGGACGAACGACGTTTGACGAGGTGCGACGACGACGCAAGCACCACCATGCCACCAAGCACAAAACAAGCACCGTGCCCGCGCGCGGACGCTGACGCCCGCAGCGACGACCGCGTCAGCGACGACGACGACGACGGCGACAAGGACGATGACGACAACAACGACATCGACGACGACGGCGACAACAACAACCGACGATTTTCAAAACCAAACCCACGCTGAGATTTCAATTTTAGGGCAGACGCGCCCGTCCACAAAACCAGCTGATGACGCGACGACGGCGACGGCGACGGCGACGGGGAGGACGCGCACAACCGACAACGACAACAACGAAGGCACCGACGGCAACCGACGGCTCGCGACCCCCGTTTAACAAACAGCATCCCCGACGACGACGACAACGACGCAAGCCGCCCAAATTAGTTCCAACCCTCGCGCCTCGAGTTCACTGCCAAAGCCAATCCACGATTTCACATCCACGGTGAACGCACCCGTCCGCGAGTAGAGCGCTGACAACGACAGTGACGACGACGACAAGGACGGAAACTACTACAACAACAACAACAACAACAACGATGACAATGCAGACAACAAGAACAACCGACGACTGGCGACCAAGAGAGGACAAACGAACATCGACGACAACCCCGACGCAATCAGACCTAATTTTGCCATCGCCGTCAACCACTCCGACATTTCAATCTTAAGGCAGACGCGCCCATCCGCGAATACAGCTGATGACGCGACGACGGCGGTAGCGACATCGACGACGAATAGACAACACGAACAACCGAAAACCACGACAACAAACGCAAGTCGACAACCGACGGGTCGCGGCCCACGGAAAACAAACGACCATCGACGACGACGACGACAACGACGCAAACCGCCCCAATTTGTTCACACTATTGTGCTTCGGGTCCATTACCAATATCTCTCTCTCTCTCATCCCACCTTCCATTCCAAAAAATGCCATTCTTCCGCGCCTGCAGAAATTCTGGGTTTGGCTCCGAACCAAATTTCTGGGCTTGGCAAAGAATTCCGGGTTTCAGTAGGAATTCCAAGTTTCGCGAATCAGCTCCGAACGGGTTTCGACTCAGAAAATTCCGGGTTCGGAGCGAATTCCCGGGTTGAATTCTCGACCTGTGTCAGATGGTGGAGAAGGAAAAGCGGGAAACGAGACGGAAACGAGAAGCGGGAGACGAAGGGAG